TTAAAAACACATTTTTAAACTTATCCTTTGATTATCACAGGTTCACAACTTTGGGTGCAGTTGATGTAGGTTTCTTTTTAGAATCAACATGTTTTAAGGATATTTTGCGTGTATTTTGAAATTAATTTATTTCAAAATAATTTTAAAAATATATTTGATGCATTTAGAAAGATTAAATAAATTTTTTGAATATTATTTTTAAAAAAAATTTAATTTTAGACATAACATACAAGACAGTACTTATATATTGACTCTCTTGATGAGGTTATCTTTGCAGGGCTTAAGTGTCTCCCTTAGGCATGTCTTCCTTTCATGTATATATGCAAAAGTATAAGCCTTTCTTTGCAAGCACTCTCTTTTGGTTTCTCCTTAAAAGTTGAATGCTTGTGTGTAAAGTATAAAAGGATTAGTGCTAGAAAGCCAAATTTCCAAACCAATTAGTGGAGGAAAAGCAGCGTCTTCTAGATGGCATGTTCTATTGTTAGCAACACTCTAAGGGATTCCAAAACCTCAAAAGGTTGAAAGCAAATATTATGCCATATACCTTTCAAACAAAGCTTTTGAGGTGGAGATTTTGGCACTTTCTAATTGTCCCTTTTGAAAAAAAGAAAAAGAAAAAATTAAGTATTTGGATGAAATAGAATTGAAAGGGTCTTTCATGGGGCGGTGCTCCTAGCTATAATCATTAATTATGAGCCTTCACTAATCCCTATCCCTAGGGACCATAGAAATTGGATTAATCCTTCAAAACTTTAAAAAAGGAAAAAAAAAGTCGAAATAAAACGTCATTAATATCCCAAGTCAAATTCCAAACTAATCACTCAAGTACAAGTTTTGTAATATAGCATATTTGAATAACTTGCTTAACCATGGAAAATGATTTGCCCAAATCAATTAAATAATCAATCCTAAATAAACCAGCAACTTCGTCACGTCTTGCAGAAGAAAATATGAATCAATTAATAGCGGTCAAATTAGTCATGGGCTCAAAGCGCTGCAATAATTAAACACTAACTTCGTTTAGTTGCTGCTAACGACAATGAGAACTAGTCTATTTTGATCTAGGTTTTTGGTTTTTTGGATTATGGTTTATGGACTATAATAATATAGACTTTTCCTTTTGCAAATTTTTTTTTTTTTGAACGGCAAAATCCTTTTGCAAATTGTTCTTTATCTATGTAAAAAGTTTCATACTCCTAAATGAGCCATTGTTTTATTTATATGTACACGAATGATTAATACAGGAACAATGTTTAGAATACACTCAAATTTAACGTATTATATAATATATTTATTAAAAAATTATTATTTTTTAATTTAAAATTAAGAACAAACAAATTTAAATACGTGAATTATACATACAAAATGTAAAAATCAATTGAATTAATTAAATTTATATTTTAATAATTGAATCGAGATGAGTATAAAAAAATATTTTAAATCGAGTATATACCAATCATTTTACTTTATATAGTGTAGGACAAACCCATTACATATTGGGTACTGATGTGTGTATGACTTTTTTATATAATTTTCATTTACAACATTTATGTATCATTAAATGAATAAAGGTATATAATATTATAGACCTCAATAAAATAAAAAAATTATTAAACAATATATAATGTTATTATATGTAAAATTAAATTATATAAAAACATTG